TAGCTCAGTGGTTCTGCTGCCTGCCTCGCAAGCACAAGGACCCAAGTTTGATCCTGGTACAAAAAACAAAGCAAAACAGATAAAGCTATGCATGCTTCAGGTTTTTTGTTTGTTTTGCTTTGTTTTTCATGACTACAGCATGTTATTTGGGTAGTTCATGATCCAGTGAAATGTTTACGCACTCATTCTCAATAATCATGGGTACAAACAAAGCAAAACAAAACAAACTACACATTTGGAAATGCCATGTGTATATTTGTTTTATTTTTGAAGTAGCAATCCAGTGTGCACTAGAATCAGAGGTGAGATGGCTCAACTACTGTATTTGGATCCATTAGATAAGACCTGCTTATTGCTTTCTGTTGCACAGCAAAAGAAGTTATCTAGTCTGTATTTTTAACCTTTTGTTATGTATGTTTTGTAAATGTCATTTTTTTATTAGTAAGTTTCCAAAGGTTGGGAAAAGAATGTGTTTTTTTTTTTCGTTTCAGCTTCCGTGTTGTTAACACAAAAACTGACACTACACAAAATGTTCCCTACCCAACTTTACCACTGATTCCCACAATATACCAGAAAAAATGTCTTACAAATCATGAGTCTTTTCATTACCCATATTTCCCAGGACAGTGCCAGCCACAGAGGAGATACTCAGCAAATATTTGTCAAGTGAATAAATAGAAACTCAGCTGGAGCCATGTTATAAAATAACTACAGTTTTCAAAGTCTTAAGCCTGCTATAACATAGATTCCAGACATGATGAAGCATATACTTGTGGGAGATTTAGGACCTAAATTCAGTAATGTCTTCAGTTAAGTAAAAAGAGTTTTAAATATTACTTGATTTGTAAAAATCCTCCAAATATTTGGTAATAATTGACCTAAGAAAATATAAAAATGTTAAGCAATCTTAAAAAAAAATAATTTGGAGCCAGTGAGTGTTGCGTTTTTAATAAAGGTAGTAATTGTCTCAGTCATAGTATTGAATTGACAATATCTTTTTATTGTGTGTAATGATCATTAATCTTGCTTATTTACATGAGCTGAAAACTACTAAAGCTTTAGAGAATGCTGCATTATAGAACTTGATTCTTCCAAAGCAGACCAACATCTCAACTGGAATAGGAGCCATGAGAGAATTGAGAGATTTGTGTGTTTCATCGTTATTATTATATTGTACAAAAAATTCACTGCTTACCAATCTTCTTTACAGCTCTAGCTCAGGACTGAAGGATTTATTAGTACAGCAATGTGCTTTTTAAGCTACAGACCCAAACTGATATTTGCCAGCTAGAAAGAGAACATAGGGACTTGTCCAAGAAGCCAACAAGGGCTTTTGAATACACAAAAGTTTTGTCAGCTAAAGGAAATGCCTAAGCCAGTCAACAACCCTTTCGTGCTGCATCAGCTCTGAGTGAGATTCTTTCTCTTTTTTTTTCTTCCTCTCTCTCTCTCTCTCTCTCTCTCTCCTCTCTGTCTCTTGAAACAGGGTCTCACTTATGTAGGGAGCCTGACTTGGAACTCACTGTGTAGCCCAGGCTGGTCTCGAATTTACAGTGCTCTTCCTGCCTCAGCCTCCAGAGTGCTGGGATTACAGGAGTGCACCACCATGCCCGGCTTCTCTCTCTCTCTTAAAGCACAGAACCAAGATTGATTATGTAAAGGTACAAATTTCAACAATGAATGTCATTATACTGTATACCTTAAATGTACCAATAAATAAAAAAAAAAAAGCACAGAAAGTAGGGTCATGGTTGGAGCTCAACAGCACAGTGCCTACCTGGGACGTGTGAGGCCTGAGTTTCATTCCCAGTTTAAAAAAAAAAAAAATTAAAGTACAGAAGCTAACATATTCCTGAACATTTTCTCCCCATGCTGGCCACTGGGAGAAGTGAGTTGCTAACACATCCCTGTGCCTCATTTTTTTTTTAATCTGTGAAATGAGATTAACATAGCCGGGTGTCGTGGCACACGCACTGGGGAGCTGAGGCAGGAGAATCCCTGTGAGTTCGAGACCAGCCTGGGCTACATAGTGAGTTCCAGGTCAGTCTCAGCTACACAGTGAGACCCTGTCTCAAAAATAAAAAAAAATGAGATTAACATAACTGTGACTGCTAAAGAATTTGATATGACTAGAGCTTAGAAGAGTTTCTGAAAGATTTTAAATGTTTAATTTTTACAGTTACTATCTATCAGTGCTGTATGTTTTTAACAGATGTTTGTGACTTTTGTTAATGCTATTTTTAGAGTTTGACCCTAAAACCTAAAAACAAAAGTAAAGATAAATTTCATTTAAAATTTTTTACTGCATTAGCATTGTTATCTATGGTTTTGTGACAGCCATTTAATGTTTTTATTTTTGTCATTACTTATAAAAAATTCACATTGAAATCAATTTTAATTTAGCATGAAATTATGCAGAGAGTATGTGCTACTACTTTTGAAATTATGCAAGTTAAATTAAGTAAGTGAACTCCTAAATATGTGGTGTAAAAAAGTACTTATAGTAATTCAGAGGACTGTAACTATATGGTGAAAACATATCAAGGTTATGATTTATTTAAAGTTAATTTGTTAATGGTTGATTTATGTTGCCATATCACAGATAATAGTGGGTATCAGTTTCTTTAACACACTTATTTTTGTCTAGAATACTTTTGAATATTCTTTCTCTGAAAATCTAAGTATAGAGATCATTTTATCACCTTAAGTTCTAACCAACTTTGGGGTATTTAGGATTATTAAATTAGGAATTACAAACATACCAGTCTATCACATTTGCTTCAAAATGTCATATTATACAATACTGTATCATTAAATGGGAATATTTTGTAAGAGAGCTATCATAATTCATTATGGCATTTGAGAAATTCAGAAATTTCACTTGCTACAGTTCAATGCTTAAATTTTACTAAAAACTCATTGTTAAAAACTGGACTTAATCTTTTATGTTATTTATGTCATTTATTTATTTTTTCAACATTATTAATCACTTTTCACTTCAGGAACATCAATATCCAAATAATAATAACTAGGTCATTTAAAATAAAGTTGATGAGGGCCGGGGATTTAGCTCAGTGGTTCTGCCACCTGCCTCACAAGCACAAGGACCCAAGTTTGATCCCTGGCGCAAAAAAAAAAATAAATAAATAAATAAAATAAAATAAAGTTGATGAAATAGGATTAGTCACCACTGTTGCTAAAATGTAAACACTGTTAACTTCTAACTGTTAAGATTCTAGAAGCCAGGAAATAGGTTTTTGATATGTGCTAAATGAGTATTGACTTAACTTTCACAGGACACTTTCTACTCACAAAATCTTATGTCACCATATATCACATTGGAGAATAATTCATTTTATACCATTTGTTTCTTATTATTCTTTAAAAATATTATAAAAGATGAGCAATTTGAATTATAATCATGATGGGAAATATGCTCCTAAAATTCTCTGACAAGTATGGCTCAGAATTTATAAAATCACCATGCTTTTTACACTCAAGAAAACTGATCCTTCCTCTACTATACGATCATTTGTTTAAGCACGGTGCTATGGTTCCAGTAATTGTTCAAAGCCCCAACAACAAGTGGCAGTTTAATCCCCAAAGTCTTATATTAATGGGATTAAGAGGGTGGAGGCTTAATCTGAGCATAGTGCTTGAAGTTAGGGCCTTTAGCAAATGAGTAGGATTAAATAAACTCATTAGGGTGGAGCTCCTATGGTTAGGTTCTGGTGGTTTTAGAACAAGAGGGAGAGAAATTACAAATAAGTGTGCAATCTGTAAAACAGGTGTCAATTATATTGCCATATAATTCTTTGTGATGCCTTGGGATTCTCTCATTAGATGAAGCACCAAGCCTTGGACATGTAGAAATAGGAGCCTAAATAAACATTTTTTTCTTTATACTGTAGCCTACATCAGGTTTTATATATGTGTGTGTGTGTGTGTGTGTGTGTGTGTGTGTGTGTGTATCTGAACTCTAAACACTTGCTTATATCTCTACTGCTAAAACTGTAGGAAATCCACATCTTTTCCTAGAACACTGCAATAGGATTCCAACTCAGCCTTCTTCCGTCTACTTAAAAAAATCAATTGCAACAAAAGCTTCCCATTAAATGTGGAGTAAAATCCAGTGCCTTATCATAGTCTTCAAAGTTTTGCCTGTCAATGGCCAACTGTACTGTCCTCAGCTCCTAACTACTGCCATAATTTTTTTGTTGTTTGTTAATCTTACTTCATGATCTATGTGTTTATGTTCATTTCCTGGAATTCTTCCCTTATGTTTCTTATTAGCTCCTTTATGTTCCTACTCAGGTGTCACTTCCACGGGAAAATCCTTCCTGAAAGCACTTTAAATTAAAAAAAAAAAGTTCTTCTTCCAAGGTATTTTCCATACTTTCATCAGGAATAGTTTTCTTCATAGCATTTCCCACCATGTGGTACTAATTAGTTACATATTTGTGTCTATATTCTTGTCTTTTTTATTACTAGATATTTTGTATCTTTAGCCATGTTTGGCACATGTTGATGTATAAAAAACATTTGTTGAATGAAACAAGGACTAATTTCACTTAACTATTTTTGAATGACTCTAATATCACCTCAATTATCCTTTCTGTTTTCTTTGGTTCTGTTCTAATCTCAAGGCTCCAGAACAAATGGTCTTCTTTATTCTCTTATTCCTCTGCTCCCTGATTTTGTATTAACTGTAACATTTCCATATCGCGGCCAACTCTTAAAGATAAATGAAAAGAACCTCCACTCTCTTTCTTGGCAATTTACTCTTTCCAAAACCCACTGGGAAATAAGAAGAAAGTTAAAATACTTTCCATAGATTTTTTTTCCGCCCTTAGGTAAAATTAGGTGAGTCTCATGGAGTCACAATCTCCGAGTTCATATCTCACTAAGGATAAAAACAAGAAAGGTTATTAATATTAAAACATCTTTCTGAGTCTATACAGGTGATGACAAGACTATGATGTGCTTTGTTTTTCTTTTAGATCTCCAACTAAAGACATGGAATCAGAGGAGAAGGAAATTGTGGTTTGGGTTTGCCAAGAAGAGAAGATTGTCTGTGGGTTGACTAAACGCACCACCTCTGCTGATGTCATCCAGGCCTTGCTGGAGGAACACGAGGCTACTTTTGGAGAGAAGCGGTTCCTGCTAGGAAAGCCCAATGACTACTGCATCATCGAGAAGTGGAGAGGCTCCGAACGGGTTCTTCCTCCGCTAACTCGAATCCTGAAGCTCTGGAAATCATGGGGAGATGAGCAGTCTAATATGCAATTCGTTTTGGTTAAAGCGGATGCGTTTTTCCCAGTTCCCTTGTGGCGGACAGCTGAAGCCAAATTAGTGCAAAACACAGAAAAACTGTGGGAGCTCAGCCCAGCAAATTACATGAAAACATTACCACCGGATAAACAAAAAAGAATCGTCAGAAAAACATTCCGGAAATTGGCTAAAATCAAGCAGGACACGGTCTCTCACGATCGTGATAATATGGAGACGTTAGTCCACCTGATTATCTCCCAGGACCATACTATTCATCAACAAGTGCAGAGAATGAAAGAGTTGGATCTGGAAATCGAAAAATGCGAGGCTAAGTTCCACCTTGATCGTGTAGAAAATAATGGAGAAAATTATGTTCAGGATGCATATTTAATGTCCACTTTCAGTGAAGTTGAGCAGAAACTAGACTCACAGCCCGAGGAAAATCAGACTCTGGAGGACTTGAGTGAAAGTGATGGAATTGTACAGTTGGAAGAGCGTCTGACATATTACAGAATGCTCATTGATAAGCTCTCAGCTGAAATTGAAGAAGAGGTGAAAAGTGTTTGCTTTGGAATAAGCGAAGATCCCGAAAGGGCAGCTACCGGTGAACTTGAAAACCCTAATTTAGATAGTGTTAAGTGTGATTTGGAGCAAAGCATGAAAGCTGGTTTGAAAATCCACTCTCACTTGAGTGGCATCCAGAAAGAGATTAAATACAGCGACTCATTGCTTCAGATGAAAGCAAAGGAATATGAACTCCTAGCCAAGGAGTTGAATTCCCTTCACATTAGCAAAAAAGATGAATGCCATGTAAAGGAAAACAGAGGGATGGAATCTGAGGTTCCCTGCACCAGTGAGGAGGCGCCTCCCTTTACCCAAAAGGTCCTTAACGGGTACACAAATGACACAGACTCAGACACTGGCATCAGCTCTAACCACAGTCAGGACTCAGAAATAACTGCTGGAGATGTGGTGCTATTATCAACATAATTCACATGGCTTTCTTCTCACCTGCTTTAATGCTGTCTATATCTGTGCAATTTAATATGCAACTATTTCAAAAAAAAGATCATGCATGTTAAAATGTTCAATAGGTAATAAAAAGTAGTGAGGATTTTTATTTTTTTGGTATAAGATTTTCAGTGTGACTTTATTATAGGTTCAAGCAATGAATTATTTATTAGGAATGCAGCAGAACTAGCTTATCAGTGTAGAACTCAGAACTAATTTAATGGGAATTATTTGATAATCTCACAGCTTCTATGGGCAATGATTTGTATAAATTTAAAAACAATTCCTAATATTGCAAAACTAGTCACATGTAGTAATAGCAAAATGCATTGTATTTTTTCCAACAATGTGTCATTAGAATTTTCATATCTGTAAAGTACATAACAGTTACTGTGTTGTAGCTCCCTTAATTCAAGTCTTGGTTCTTTTAATACTGATGCTGTACAATCTGCTCTATCTATCATTTCCTGAATGCTCCTACCTGTTTATGCCTCTGTGACAGGTGGCTGTCAGGACATGTAAGAGTATTGGCAGTAGGTCAGAGCCTGTATAGATGAGGCAAAGCCAAGTGCAGCATAAAAACATTTTTTTCCTGTAAAAAGTACAATAATTAAAGAGCTATGTATCAGCTTTTCCTACTTGGAAATTGAGATATTTTGATCAAATCAGTGTTCTTTGAAGGTTCCAGCTTAGAGGGGTAGTGTGAATTAGAAACCAGGTGCTTATCCACATAGAGGATGTGATAAAATTTAAAGTTGGTTGTGTGGGTAAAATAGTGTTCCACCTCATATCATTATTAGAAATTTGTCTCTGAATGCATGGGAGGGAATGCACAGGGACGGAAGGTTTATTCTGGTGTGTCGTATTTTAGATTGTCTTCGTAGTACTTCACCCAAACTGCTTAGGTGCGTTTTGTGCTTTAAGAAGTACTAACAACATTTCAGACATGCTAGTAGAAACTGAAGAGATTGAATAGATTATTGAGGTTCTGCCTTGACTGACAGTCGTTCTAGTGCCAGATTATACTTGGTTTTCCTTCACTTTTTAATTAAGAATCTTATTTCTCCCCCTTGCCTTTTTGCCTTCCTTTCATCTTATCCACCTGCCTGTCTGTCTTCCTCTTTTCTCCTCTCTGCCTCTCCCTATCGCGTTACCATTATTTCTCCCTTCCTTCCTGCCAGTGAACATGTGATTTAATCATATTGGACAGAACCTTATGCTTTTATAGTACTGGCGGCTGAGTACTGCTGCAGTTTATGTTGGTTTTGTTTTTTCAACTGACACCTTTCTTGTGTGCCTGGATGTGTAAATAGAAATATTATTTTATGTAGGCTTTATATGTGAATATCAGTTGAGATTCCAAGTGTTTCGTGTTTCGTGCCTTTTTATTCATATTGTAGTAAGCTTCACACTTATTTTTCAACATTGGAACATAGTTATTAATAATCTTCTTGATAAGTGTCTTTCATGTTCTCAATCTCTTTATTCATTCTTCCCTCTCTTCTTCACTTTTTTACGACCTTTGAGAAGATATTTAGAATATCCACGTTTCAATTTGGGGGATTATCTATGTTCTATTTTTTTTAAACCACAATTTTTGCAGGCCATATTTGAAGTTGGCAAAATAGGAATTTCCATCCCATGAAAATATAGAAATAAATAATAAGTAATAATAACATGGGACATATTTTTAAAAGAAGTTATTGAATAATCATTTGTGAAAGTGTATGTGCCTCATAGCCCAATAAATCATTAGACAAAATGAAAATATAGTGACATATTTATTGATCTCTATTAGGATTAAACTCAGAAGATAATCATAAATGATAAACCAATTATAATGTTGTTTTTCTAAAGTGAAAGTAATCTCTTTGGATTACTCTTATGTTTTGACAGGAAATAAAGGAACAATGCTTATCTCCTGTAACTTAACTGATTAAGTGATTTCAAAAGTGGTTTGTATAAGAATGGACTAGAGATATAAATTCATTTCATTGAATTACCATATGTTTTAATGCTGTTGAACAAAATCACTGAGTCTAATGGTTGATTATATATTTTATAGTAAGCAAGAGAGCAAGTCCATTGATTTTTAAATTTGTTTTAAATTTTTTTGTTTGATTTTACTTATTCAAGTATGTTTGTTTTCTGGTCATTTCAATATCAAATCATTCAAGTGATATGATGAATCCGTAATATAAAATTATGTATTATTACATCAATAAAATATTAAAATATGGTACCCCAGGCTTAGATACTAGTTATTCACTAATAGGAAGCACAGTTTTCAAAAAGGGACTTGATAAAAAATTCAATATTTTCAATATCTGGAGAAACTTTAAAATTAAGTCTATAATTTCTGAAATAAACTGACAAGGTAATTGTGCGAAATAGCTTTTTGAAGCTAGAAGAAGCAAACCAAAAGCCGATGTTCTTCACTTTCATAGAAAGACCTAGATTTCCCCAGATAGAGCTTCATTCATCCCTCCATCAGGTCATCTGTTTTTTTCTCCATACCCGGTACACCGCAATGCTACCCATCTTACACAGTGCTTAAAAGTGAGCTTTTTTATGAAACAGCGTTGTTATAATCTCTTGTCTCCAAGCCCACAGATATTTCAGATATACTTCTCATTTACCTCAGCATTTATATTTTACCTTTGGTTGTATTTATTTATTTATGTGCTGATCCAATGCCTCTCTTCCAATGCATTCTTGGTATATTACTTTATCATCTATCTTGCTGATTTCGCTCACTTCTCCTACTTTTTTTACTCCCTAATAGATTTGAATTGAATGGCTAAATTTTAGATTAGCAACATCTTTGTACATTTTTAACATGCTAAATGATGTTTGTGCATGTTGTACATAAATATGTATTTTAGCAGATTTAAAACATTAATTAGAATTCTATAAATTTTGAGGGGTAGACACTAAATTTTAATGTTTCTTGGAATTGTTTTGAATGTGCATCATATTTTTTAAAACCAACTATAAAATTGAACCTTATTTTGTGGTACCATGTGATGTTTCAATGCACATATACATTGTATGAGGTTCAGATCAGGGTAAATGTTAAGACTACATTTTGTTTTTATTCCACAGGAGTACTGATTTACAACTCAAACATCATCTTTTTAAAGCTAATTTAATGACAAACTTATAGAATTTTTTCAGTCATCTCTGCTTTTAAGAATTTGCCGGGCATGGTGGCCCATGCCTGTAATCCTGACACTCAGGAGGCTGAGGCAGGAAGATCGCTGTGAGTTCGAGACCAGCCTGTAAGTTCCAGGTCAGTCTCAACTACATAGTGAGACCCTGTCTCAAAACAACAACAACAACAACAACAAAGCAAAAACAAAAACAAAACAAAACACAAGACTTTATTATAGAATTGGGCTTGAAGTGGAAGACACAAAATAACTTTTAAATTTTCTGACTATAATGTATATTTTCTTTTTCTTCTTACAAAAATGATTTCTAATCAGTGTGTACAAGCTATTTTAATCCATTAAATTTTTATTTTTATATTTATTTAAGCATCTTCTATACATGAACAATATATTTCTGTAGCTGCATTTTATGATAGTTCAAAGTAGAATTATTATTGTTCAATTTAAAACATTTTTCTAGTGACAAAGGAATAACTTTTAAATCCTGATATACATATTTAAAAATATTAGGGTATTTCTTGTCGTAGTGTCTGCCTTGTTTAATAAGCCTTATATGACAAATGTAAAGAATATATAAATTCTTTAAGTTGTATCTAATCTGCAATAATAAAACAAATAATTTTAACTTCTTGTGATATTTTTCTGATGTGTTACATGGCTATATTAAAATTAATTTTATATCAGTTTGAATTATATCATTTCTAAATTAACTCAAATGATTTAAGATATTATTTCATGACTATAAAATATACAACAAATAAGATATAACAAAAGTTTTTATTAATACCTATTTGTTCCAATATTTGTTAGAAAATATTCTGGATTTTGTGCTGATTTTATGACATAGTATCTTGTTTTCTAGAATGAAATCACTCTGATGTGAAATCAATGAAAGAAGTATAAGCATCTCTTCTAGAATTATTTTTGTTACTACTATTACTTGTCAAAAGAAGCCTTTAGTTTTGCTGTTTTAAAATATTAAATCACTTGAGCCATAGGGAAACACACTAGGCCATTTTATAAATGATCATGAATGACTGTATTGAAAGAAGATAAGTGTGATCCAATAAAACACATAGGAATAAACTGACACCATTCTCTTTATCAGTGGATCTCAATATGAAAGAAAACACACAACAGACATTTTATTAACCTCGGTTTGCACTGAGTTTTCACCAATTATTTAAATCAAAAATAACAAATTTAAATTCTAGAGCTAATAGGTCCAAATCAGAAAATGAAAGTTTCAATGATCATCTTGATAATTCAAATACCAAATTATCACGTTTCCTTATGTAGGCACACTAGACAGTGTTTCACTGAAGACTACACAGCCTCCCACGATATTTTATTCATTTATAGAAGTAAAACAGATGCAGTATACAGAACTCAAATTATTCAAAACGTGGGCATCGTGTTAAGTAAATCTTCTATCCTTGTGACATACCTCCCCAAACATCCTCTTTAGATATATCAGGTATTTGTTATTGCTATGAATTACTCTAGCGATAATGAATATGTATATGTTTACACACATATGGATTTTCATAAACACCTTTTTCTCTACAAAGTATTGTCTGTGGTACAGATGTTCCAATACTAAGCTTTCTCCTGTAACACTTCTTATTCTGAGATGTGCTTATTCTTAAGATCATTCTATATTTTTCATATAGAGACGCCATATCTTATTCGATGGCAACAAGGACTTTCATTGGGTCAAGGAAATAATTCATTTAATTAGTCCTTTCTGATTGCTACTGAGGTGGTTTCCAATCATTTACTGTGCCAACATGAATAATGTTACAGGTTCAGAGAATTTCTCTAAAGCCAGGTGTATCAAATAATGACAAGCACATTTTTATTATTATACTTATTTGTACATATCAATTGTAGAGATTGGCTTCATTGTGATATTCTTATATATGCATGTAATATACTTTATATCTATTTTCTTACCCTTTTGACGACCTTTTGCCCTCCTCCCAAAGCAATTCTTTGCAAATAGCCCCCTTTTACTTTTATGTGGTTTTCTTTTTCTAAATTCCACAAATGAGAGAAAAATGTAACAGTTATTTTTGTGACTGACTTATTTTTCTTTAATTCCTAAACTCCATTTCTACCCATTTCCCTGAAAATGATATAATTTCATTCTTCTTTATAGCTGAACAGTACACCATTGTATATAAATATCATATTTTCTTATGCAGTTCTCTATTGGTGGGCATCTAGGCTGATTTTGATAACTTGGCTATTGTGAGTGCAGATATAAACACAGGTATGTGAGCATTTCTGGAGTATTCTCACATAGGTTCTTTTGGATGTATACCCGGGAGTAGTATAGACATTTATTAGGCTTATTTTCAGTTTTTGGAGGCATATCTTTATTGTTTTACATAGTGGCTATGCGGTTTAACAGTCACACTAATAGTGTATGAATATTCCTTTATCCCCACATCTTCCTCAGCAGTTGTTGTTTTCATAATAGTTATTATGACCAGTGTGAAAAGGGAATCTCCATGTAGTTTAGATCAGCATCTCTCTGGTATCTATTGAACAGTTTTTTTTCAGTTATTGGCCATTTATACCTTGACTTTGTAAAACATCTGTTTATATAAAATATGTTTTTAACATTAGAAAAAATAAATTTAACTGGAACTTAATCGAAGCAGAACATAATTTGGAAATGTACTCTTCATATCAACATGGTTTTTTTTCTATTACGATGGGGATTGAGCTAAGGGCCTTCACACTGAGCTAGATCCCTAACCCATTCTATTTTGCTTAATTTTATTTCAATTTTGAGACAGGGACTTGCTAAGTCACTGACTTGTCCAGGCTGTACTTGAGCTTGTGATCCTCCTGCTTGGCCCTCAAGAGTGCTAGGGGATTAAAGATGTGTGCAACCATACCTGGATTACTTAATGTATTTTAATACAAAAATTTTAAATTATATAGTTCAGTTCGTGGACTAATAACTCATGAATTATTTTTGTCATATTTTAAAAATGGCTTTCATGGTGCAAGATAGAAAATTTTTAAATTTTGTTTTTATTAGCACATGTTTAGAGTATTTACACTTCTTGTGGGGAAGTGGTACATAGACATTATGCATCTTAATTCCTTTTCTTCCCTTTCCCCTTCCTGTCTCTCCCTTCATCCATCCCCTGATACCTTTCTTTCATTTTTTTTTCTTTTCATTTGTTTTTTTTTTTTGTATC